GACTGGATTTACGATATCCGGACGTAGTCTGGTCCGGTCCTTAAGTAGCCGGAGGTTTATGAGCTGCCTAACGTATTCGTCCGCAATCCGCCGGACGTTGGCATACCTACCGGCGAGGAGGTCCCGAGCATTCTGGTAGGCGTCGTCCGACAATTTCAAATGGCCGACGACGCCCAGGGCCTCCCCCTCCAATGATGCCAGGAGGTACCCCATCTTTTGGCTGGGTGTCAAGTCCCTCCGGGCGTCCACTAGGCTGTCAAACAGACCGACGAAAGTCAGCCATTCGGAGAGGACCCCGGAGAACCTTGGTAGGTCCAGAGTCGGGAGTCGTCTTAAAAGTTCCGGCTGAGTAGGCTGCTTCCGAGGGGACTCAGGCAGGCCACTCATCAGAGCTTTCTTAGCATATGTTTATGCCCAAAAATGGGCATTTTGAGACGGAACCCAATCACCTTCGACTTAGTGAATCGCCCGATGGTACCAGGTGTCACGCTCATCGCGGGGAGGAGGCAGCGGTAGGCAGCTTCCCAGCGTGTGGCGCTCGTGGGCAAGAAACAGTAGCTCGCTGGCAGCCGTGCAGTTAATTAGCATACCTCGGTTGCCGCTGCCGAGGTTTCGCGCGACCGATTTTGGGGTTACGGTCTCGATTTTTAGAATTTGTGCGCTTGACTTCGCTACGTAATTGTGTTTCGTGAAAACCGCCTCGTTTTAGGTTGTCTAGGATTTAAGTTCTTGATAAGAGGCATGTATTGTGTTTGACTGATTAAAGTAACTTCTTTGAAAGTAATTGTGCCGTCGCGTTAAGTGCCCTTTTTTGTGTGTTGACTGTTTTGTTCGTTTTACGTGTCAACTAGGCGTATTTTGAATTCTTATCGCGGCGTAGTATTTAGTATCGAACGAAGGAACTTAGTTGTGTTTAACGCCGAACCGTGTGACTCATGAAGAGATCGCGTTAGTTCCCTGTTTGTAATTTGGTGATAAATGAATCCGGGACATTGAATGTTGAACTTTGAACTACTGTCCGTTACTGTGTCGGGTATCACGTGTTTGATTCTACGATGAAAGTGGAATTAGGCGAGCTTAAGTTAGTTAAATGTACAATGATAACTTCATTGTACATTGTACAGGTACGTACTATATTTTTCTAGCCTTCTCCCTACAGTTTAGTATGATAGGACATTTTTCCATATAGCCATTTGCTTAGGCCGTTTGTTTAGGCCCAAAAAAGGTAATTTGTACGACATCCAATCACGTTCGACTTCGTGAATCGCCCGATGGTACCGGGTGTCACGCGCATTGTGGGGAGGGGGCATCGGTAGGCAGCTTCCCAGCGTGTGACGCTCGTGGGCGAGAGATACGGCTCGATGGCGGCTGGCCAGTTAATTGGTGTCTTTCGATGCCCGCCGCTGAGGTTTCGCGAGACCGGCTTTTTCTGGTTTAAGGTCTAGAATTTTGGAAATTGTGCGCGTGACTTCGCTACGTAATTGTGTTTTGTGAATATCGCCTCATTTTGGGTTGTCTAGGGTTTAAGTTCTTGACAAGAGGCTTGTATTGTGTTTAACTGATTAAAGTAACTTCTTTGAAAGTAATTGTGCCGTCGCGTTAAGTGCCCTTTTTTGTGTGTTGACTGTTTTGTTAGTTTTACGTGTCATCTAGGCGTATTTTGAATTCTTATCGCGGCGTAGTATTGATATCGAACGAAGTAATTTAGTTGTGTTTGTAACGCTGAACCGTGTGACTTACCAAGAGATCGCGTAAGTTTACTATTCGTCATTGGGTAATAAATGAATCCGGGACATTGAATGTTGAACTTTGAATTACTGTCCATTACTGTGTCGGGTGTCACGGGTTCGATTCTACGATGAATGTGGAATTAGGCGAGTTTAAGTTAGTTAAATGTACAATGAAGTTAATAGACTGGAATAGTGCCATGAAGAAAGAAATGGTCCAGCGGGGAAGTCTACTGGAGTGATGCAGCATTGTGGGGCAGCCTGGAAATCGGCCGCTGCCATTCACCTCAACTGGTCCAGGTCTCAGATACCTAAACCTCACTAAACACTACTTTCCATGTACCTTACACCCATCTACGGCCTGACCGAGCCTTGGGGTGATCTTAGCTTCGGATACAGGTACGTACTATATTTTTCTAGCCTTCTCCTTTCAGTTTAGAATTATAGGACATTCCTCCATATGGTCATTTGGGCCCGACCCGCGTCTGCCCGTCTAGCAGGCTGCTATGGGCCCCAGCCAAGGCGACCTTTGCAGGGGCAGCTGCGGGCCGTAACACCGTTTAATCTTCCAATCATGGGCCCCGGGATATTTGATCTTAGCAGGGGCAGCTGTGGGCCGTAACATTTTTGGTAGCAAGGAGCGTGTTTGGATTGGTTTAATTTTGTGTCTGTCTGTAATATTAAAATTCTTTTCCTATGTTGCTTGCTTCTTTTGTTTGTTAGCGGGTAGATTTGAAAGCCACGCCCGTAGGTTGCGCAAGCGGGAGTTTGTTAGGGCTAGGTATGCGTCGGGTAGGTAGATAATTCTTATCACGTAATCGGGTAAATATCGTTGTCGTTTCCTCTCAGGGATCTTCCGAGCCCTCAACTCCCACGGGCGTGGGCGCTCAGCCGCGCCCACTGTCGGGGGGTTTTCCCCCACGGGCGGGAGGTCGTCTCCCCCTCCCTCAGTATGTTGACAGGGACTTCACTGCCACTCAGCGGTCAGCTAGACCCTTCTCACCCACGTCAGCTGAGTGACTGTGGCTGGGGTACCAGTCCCCCTTTAATGCAGGCAGCCCCAGCTAGGTAGCTGCCGCCCTAGCTCCCACCACGGCCACCTCCACTAATTCTTTGAGCCGTCAACAGCTCTCTTGTCAAACTGTTCTATTGCCGACGGTTCAGTGAGGGTGTACAACCCGATGCCACTCAAAGTCTAGCGTCCCTTAGCACAAATCTATAATTTAATACGAACGCGGTGTCTCGCGTGTCACAAAGTTTAGCGTTTTTAACCGACACAGGAAAATATCTCCGAGTTAAATCAAATGGCACAACATAACTCGTCGACGCAAGTTAATATTGTCCGAATGCACTTATACATGCAACCACTATACAACTTGACGCTAATTAATTGTAACGACGTTAATTAATCGCTCAAACTCAAAATTCAGCCTCGTTGACACGTAAAATAAACGAAAAATACAACGCAAGAATGAGAATAGAATGAATAGAATAGAATGATTTTTTATTCAATATGGATTATTACATAATACTTATTGAAAGTCATTATTTTATTTACCACTGAGAGGCGCTTAAATCGACGTTATAATTCCACACGCGTCCTTTACGACTGGTAGTTCCTCACAATGATTTTCTCGACGCGTCTCGATCGAAAACGCCGGTAATTAGAATGCCGCCGGAGAGGGGTAAGCGGTGACCTTCGTACCGTGCTATGCACGCCGAGTCGCGAGGTACGAATTCAGTTTTCAAAAGGTTAATATTTTGCCTAAACACTGTTGGTATATCGAAGTGCTGAATTTGTACAGTAGAGCTACGATGGCTATCCGAGTACAGAACCAGAGTACGAAACCTATCCAATTGCAGAGAGGTGTAAGACAGGGTGATGTTATATCCCCGAAACTCTTTACCGCTGCATTGGAAGACGTTTTCAAGCTTCTGGACTGGAAAATATACGGTATTAACATCAATGGCGAGTACATCACTCACCTTCGATTTGCCGAAGATATAGTCCTTATGGCAGAATCGCTGGAGGACCTAAACACCATGCTCAATGATCTTAATAGTGTCTCCCAACGAATAGGTCTTAGGATGAATATGGACAAAACAAAGATCATGTTTAATGTCCATGTCACAACTATGCCGGTAGTTGTTGGGAGCACTAAGCTCGAAGTTGTTGACGAGTATGTTTACCTGGGACAAATAGTCCGACTAGGTAAGTCCAACTTCAACCGAGAGGTCAATCGACGGATTCAACTCGGCTGCGCAGCGTTCGAAACTACGACACATCTTCTCGTCAGACATACCTCAAAACCTTAAAACGAAATTGTACAACCAGTGCGTGTTGCCAGTGATGACTTACGGATCTGAGACGTGGTCCTTCACTGTTGGCCGTATAAGGAAGCTCAAGGTCGCTCAGCATGCTATGGCTCTCCATAGCTCATTGAGCGACCTTGCTATGCTATGATCGGGGTTTCTCTGCGTGATAAACTTAGAAATGAGTATATCCGCAGTAGAACCAGAGTAACCGACATAGCCCAACGGATTAGTAAGCTGAAGTGACAGTGGGTCGGCCATATAGCTCGAAGAACCGACAACTGATAGGGATGAAAGGTTCTTGAGTGGCAGCCTCGTACCGGTAGGCGAAGTGTAGGGCGACCCCCATAAGATGGAGTGACGACCTGGTGAGACTTGCAGGAAGTCGATGGATACAGGTGGCTCAGGACCGTGCTTTGTGGCATTCCTTGGGGGAGGCATATGTTCAGCAGTGGACTTATGAAAGGCTGTAATATGATGATGATCTCTTTAATTGTTAATAAAATATTTTGTTTAAATTACTGAAATATTAATAATGAGAAACAGATAATATATCTTTTCTTTCACGTTTACGATAAAGTATTTAAGATTATAAATGAGGGATCTACGTTTAAAAATACCCTTTATAGGCTAACTGACAATTCAGAAGAAGATTTTTTTTTGGAGTTTATGGCCTGGCATCTAGACCTTTAGGCCAATTCAGAAGAAGATCTTTGGCTACATTACAGAAAAAAAAAATTTGGTGAATTTAGGCTACTTTTATTTTAATTTTTGGCGACTCGGAACGGTCTGGACTTGGCAACACTGGTCTGTGACTGTGACTGTGATTCTAACCTGGTATACAGTAATCTGTGATTCTAACATAATAAAAATCTTCGCACAAGTGATATGTAATTATGTAAAACTTTGCTTTTATCCAGGTTAAAGGTTGGTTTTTTGTTGAAATAATAGTGTCTTAAAATGGGTAACGCAGGAAGTAACCAACCTAAAGAATGGCATAAAGATAACACTGTTAAGCACCCCGATGTAGGACCATCTTCACCTACAAAGGAAGGCGAAGCATTCACATTTGACAAAAAAGTTGACGACCGCAGTGGTCGAGAAGATGACAGTATTATAGAAGATGGGGCGCCATATTATACTAAGGCAGTGCCTGAAAGTAACTTGGAGTTTGAAACAAGGGAAAGATCAAACACATTGACTGAGAGCACTAAGGTTGCTGATGATGTTAAGGTTCTACCTACTGTATTTAAATGGGAAGGTGGAGGCAAACAGGTATCATTTATGGCTTCCCTAAAATTGAGATTCATTTCTTTTAACTATTTATGTTTTGTATGGCAGTAATTACATATTTAATGACATCATGATGAATATAAGCCATTATTTCAGGTTTTCATTAGTGGTACTTTCACTGATTGGAAAACTATTCCAATGGTTAAGTCTCATGGGGATTTTGTAACGATAATAGATTTGCCTGAGGGTGAACATCAGTATAAGTATTTTGTTGATGGAGAATGGAGGCATGACCCAACAGTGGTACTGTATCTTGTACTTAAATGTAAATAATGTGGTTATAATGTGTTAACTTCGAATTTATAACATTTCAGAAAGTTATAGATAATGGGATGGGATCAAAAAATAATTTAGTAACTGTAAAATTATCCGATTTTGAAGTTTTTCAAGCACTAGCAAAAGACAGTGAAGGAGTTCATAGTAGTGCACAAACTGAATATTCACAGGTAATTCATTCTATTTTTAAATGCAGTAATAAAAATACATTTTATTTGATGAATATAAAAAATCAAATTTCTTACCATTTTTTATCTTATTAGTACTTTTTGGGTGAAGCTGAAGTTAAAGCTTTCTGTAATCTTTACTTAAGGCAAAAGTTGTAGCAGATATTTTCATTGTTTTTAAATTTAGCCTAACAATAGCTAATGTGGTAGAGCTATGCTGCAGCTATATTAATAAAATAGTTGTAGCACGAATGGGTAGGCTCGACTGGGGAAGGACCACACTCTCACAGAATACCAGCGTGAAATAGCAGCTTAATGCTGCTGTGTTTCATATGGTGAGTGTAGAGAACTGGAGACCCTTTTTACTGAAAAAGAGGCATTCTATCATAGTCCTCACGGGTGACAACGCATCTGCATTTTAATTCGCAAACGAAGATAGATGTAGATGTCTATGGGCCACAGCAACCACTTACCATCAGGTGGACTGTGTGCTTGTTTGTCACCATTATTGTATAAAAAAAGTTAAAAACAGAAGTGCAAATTCTTTTTTGTATATTATTATAAATGATGACATAAATGCATATGAAACTAATTATATAAATAAATTGCATCATAAAATGTGGAAATTTACAAAAAAATCTCCATAAATGAAACAAAATAAATTCTCATTACAGCCTATCAGAAGTCTATTGCCAAACATAGGCCCCTACACAGATTGCTACAAAGTACAGTCTTGGGCCATATCTCACCTCTGCATGTTTCATTAGGTCATCAATCCATCTAGTGGGAAGATATTGTGCATTTTTATATGTAGTAGAGCTTTGCTGCAGCTATATTAATAGTATAGTTGTAGCACAAATGGGTCAGCTTGACCGGGGAAGGACCATGCTCTCACAGAATACCAGTGTAAAATAGCAGCTTAATGCTGCTGTGTTTCATATGGTGAGTGTAGAGAACCGGATACCCTTTTTACTGGAAAAGAGGCATTCTGTCTTAGTCCTCACTGTATCTGCATTTTAATTCACAAAATAAGATAAATGTAGATGTCTATGGGACATAGCAACCACTTACCATCAGGTGGACTGTGTCCTTCTTTGTCACCCTTATTCTATAAAAAACATGTCAGTATAAAGCATTTACTTGAGAACCTTTCTTCAACATTGGTTGACTGTTCTTGAAGCTTTATGGGTGACCCTAGCCTAGCTTTCAGCCTATTGAACTGCATGGCTATGTCAGTTATGCTTGTTCTTCTGTAGATATCTATTTAACCAGGTAGAAATATCTGAGCATAGACCTTTCCAAAGCTCTCTAATTGACTCAGAGCTTCCTTTCTTTCTTCCTATATATGGTAGGTAGTGAAGCACCACATTTTGGTTGTGTGTATGTTGTGTTGTATGTCATCAACATCATATGGTTGACTGCATACATTGCACTATATACCACGGATAGATGCGCCACTCACATTTCAGTTTTCGAATGAGTATACCATGTACACTAGATGCTGCTGTATTCTTTAGTACAATGTGGCTTGTGGTAGTTACCACTAGATGGCATATTTTGTCAATGACTATTATTATATTGATATTTATGAAATATGCAGTTTTAGTATCAATCTTTATGTATACATTCTACCAGATAATTATTAGATGTCTCTAATAATTATCTTAAATCTCCAAATGGTAATTTTGTAGATAACATTACCACTAATAAAACTTAGCCTAAGTAACCAGTTATTGAAACTATCTATTGATACAATAGCGGGTAGCGGGTTATTGCAGGCCAACGAAACTATCTATTACAGTAGATGTTTTACTTGGTAACATGATTTTACGATTTTTTTATTCGGCTTTTCGGGACGCATCGGCATCCACCGGCCATTTAATGTCGGGTGATACGTTTTGTCTCTTTCACACCCACCAGACCTATACATACATTGCTTTTACATTTGACCTATGACTATTACCTTTGGATAAATGTTATATTGGAAATGAGAAAGTAAATGTGCATGTTTTGAAATATCAAATATTTTCGAATTGCTTGGTCATAACCCAGTCTAAATACGTCTCGCGTTTGAGTTTTAGGAACGATTGCTAACATAGTGAATTTATTTTTGTGCATCAATAATAATATTTGTTGTAAGATAAGAAGAGAATACAATTGTATTTATGTATTACTATTTTATTTAAAATTTAACTTAAGTATTAATTGTTACGTAATTAACTCATCACCAGCCAGTCCTAAACCTGGATAAAGAATGAAGGAAATTTCATAGCAATATAAATCTTCTAAACACTAAAATGTCGATAACAGTAATCTTAATGAAACGGGAACACCAAACAAGCTAATCAAACTGTCGTTTCACAAAATGGCCATCGTTCGTGAAACACTATTGGAGTTTGGAGCCACTATTAAAATAGTGTTTCAATAGCTGCTATGATATTCAATAGATAGTTTCGTTTCGTTACTCAAAAAAGCCGTTTCAACCCACTGCTAGTCAACCATAACCATAGACCAAAACTGCCATTGATATAGGTTTTGTTGGGCCTTGGATTCTGGGGGTTTGGCCTAATAAACGCCATCTCTACAATGCTGAACAAAACTAGCCTACAAGTTTATGTACCTAATTCACTAGAGGGCTGAACTTTCAATGCATTTTTTATTTTTGTAAATTTGTATGGCAATTTCATCCCCCTGGTTGACTGTCCTACAAGCTATATGTGTGGCCCAGTGTAACTTTAGCCTATTGATCTACATGACTATGCCAGTTTATCTTGTTTTTGTGGATACCCTCATTATGGATTATATTGTGGCGGCGCTGTCGTCGCGCCACAAGCGAAACACATCGAAGCCTAAATCGCGCTATCAAAGTTCCGAAATTAAAGCAGCATATATAGAATAGCTCCGAACTACCAATCGGAGCGTTGGCCGCTCCCCGGGCAGAACTCCTTGCCCGGCGGGAGATCTCCCCTTTTCCTTCCACCCGCCACAGTGGTCACCACTGTGGCGGGTGGAAGGAAAAGGTCATCCGACGTGATATGAACACGCAACCAAATAACCTTCGGAAAATATAACTTCAAAACTTTCGTCATCGTCCTCAAATACCCCATTCATTCGCTCCCGAGCAGATATTATCTGCAATCTTCACATTCTACAAGCCATCTAGCTTTACAAAGGTTCAACGCAGCACTGGAATAATAATGCTTCCTGTTCCTTCAAGCTACTCTCTGCGCTACAGTGTTCGGCACGGCTCTGAGCCTTACTGCTCGCCTCTGCTTCACGGCACTCTCGCAGATTACTTGCCTTCTTCTCGACTTACCACAGATTACAAGGCAATCCCTGGCACTTGCTCCGGCTCATCGTTCTCACCGGTATCACTTGCAAGTGCGTAGTACGGCATGCATTACACACCGGCATATCATTCGCACCGGCGTCACTTGCCCTTACGCACACAGCATGCATTCCCCACCGGCATTTAAGGACGCACCGGCAATCGGACTGCACTATCGACCTCCGGTCTGAGCAGGGGGGTGATGTGGCGGCGTTGTCGCGCCACTAGCGAAACACATCGAAGCCTAAATCGCGCTATCAAAGTTCCGAAATTAAAACAGCATATATAGAATAGCTCCGAACTACCAATCGGAGCGTTGGCCGCTCCCCGGGCAGAACTCCTTGCCCGGCGGGAGATCTCCCCTTTTCCTTCCACCCACTACAATATCACAGAAAGAAACTGAGTATAGATCTTTTCATAGCTGATGAGAAAGATATACGCAACTATATTATGTTTTGCTTCCATAAGTCGTCGACATCTTATATAATAATAATAATAATAATAATATCATCATTATCATTATAGTCCTTCACAAGTCCACTGCTGAACTTAGGCCTCCCTCAAGGAATGCCACAAAGCACGGTCCTGAGCCACCTGCATCCATCGACTTCCTGCATATCTTACCAGGTCGTCACTCCATATAGTGGGGGGGACGTTCTACACTTCGCCCGCCGGTACAAGGCCGCCATTCGAGAATATTTTTTCCCCATCGGTTGTCAGTTCTTCGAGCTATATGGCCGGCCCATTGCCACTTCAGCTTACTAATCCGTTGGGCTATGTCGGTCACTCTGGTTCTACTGCGGATAACGCTGCCCAACCGAGTTGAATCCGTCGATTGACCTCTCGGTCGAAGTTGGACTTAACTAATCGGACTATTTGTCCCAGGTAAACATTCTCGTCAAGAACTACGAGCTAAATGCTCCCAACAACTACGTAATCTTTGTTTTGTCCATGTTCATCTTAAGACCTATCCTTTGGGAAACACTATTGAGGTCATTGAGCATAGTGCTTAGGTCCTCCAGCGATTCTGCCATAAGGACAATATTGTCGGCAAATCGAAGGTGAGTGATGTACTCGCCATTGATGTTAATACCGTATCATTTCCAGTTCAGATGCTTGAAAACGCCTTCCAATGCAGCGGTGAAGAGTTTCGGGGATATAACGTCACGTGTCTTACACCTCTCTGCAATTGGGTAGGTTTCGAACTCTGGTTCTGTACTCGGATAGCCATCGTAGCCCTACTGTACAAGCACTTCAGCACTTCGATATACCGACAGTCAACTTGGCACCGCTGAAGGGACTGCAGCACCGCCCAAATTTTGACGGAATCAAAGGCTTTCTCATAGTCCACATACGTCAGACATAGTGGTAAATTGTTATCCTCGGACTTCTGTACAATTTGCCGAAGGGTATGTATGTGGTCTATGGTGCTAAAGCCTTTTCGGAAACTGGCTTGTTCGGGAGGCTGGCAAGTACACGCGCGAGACGATTCGTAATGACTCGAAAACAGCACGTAGATACGGCTCAGAAGGGAAATCGGTCTGTAGTTCATCAAGAGAGCGTTGTCACCTTTCTTGAAGAACAAGACCACCGCACTTTTGCTCCACGTGTAATGCCACCATGGAGTAATGCCACCATGGAGGACGGAATTAAAGAGCTTCTGAAGGACTTCAAGTACCGGTTTTCCACCCGCTTTCAGAAGCTCCGCTGTGATTCCATCCTCGCCTGGGGCCTTGCCGTTTTTAAGGTGTTGAAGAGCTATTCTAATCTCGCTCAGACTGACGTCCGGGATATCATCGGAATAGTGTCGGATAAGACTCGCTCTTGGATCGTTCTCACACTTGCGTGTGACTCCAACGATGATGTGTACAGCTGCCCATAGAACCTCTCAATCTCACGCAAAATGTCAGGTGTCCCGAAAATGACGCTACTACACTCGGTCTTCAGCTTCGACAGTTGTCTCTTTCTGGCAGACAGATCTCTAGCAAAGATTTTGGAGCCCTGGTTCCGCTCGATCGCTTCTTCAATACGTGCAGTATTAAAGTTGCGTAAGTCCCGCCGCATGCATTTGGAGATCTGTCTGTTCAGTTGCCTGTATGCTGTCAAATTTACTGAAGACTGCAGCTTCATATCCCGTCTAACAGCCATGAGATTAAGAGTGTGATCGGAGAGTTTTTGTGTTCTTCTGCGGTGGGTCTTGCAAAACTTAACTCCGACCGCATGGACAGTTTCCACGAGCTTGTCATTAATATCGTCCACTGCATTGCAATTTTCTAGGCACTGAAAACGGTTCCGTAGCTCGAGCTGAAAGGTTTCGGGACTTTGGAGTAAAGCACGAGGGGGACGGAGCGTTGACTTCATTAGACGTGACCTCTCCAACTTAACAATAAGGTTCAGTATTCCTCTCACCATTCGGTGATCGGTACCGGTTTTCACCCTCGTGATCACTGAGACATCACTAAATAGTTGTCGTCTGGTCGTCATAACGAAGTCAATCTCATTTTTGGTCGAACCGTCGGGACTCGACCAGGTCCACTTCCTGTGGAGCCGCTTCTGGAAGAAAGAGTTCATCATAAAGAGTCCCTCTTTCTCCATGAAGACGTCCAGCTGCTGGCCCCTTGGGTTCCGTTGCCCTATTCCGAATTTCCCTACTTTCAGCTCACCGTTCTCTCCTGTGCCTAGTTTTGCGTTGAAGTCTCCCATTAACACCGTATAGTGGGCTTTGGAGGATCGCATGACCCTAGAGATATCCTCATACATTTCCTCCACGCCCTTATCGGGATGTGCCTAGGTTGGTCCGTAAATCTGTATGACCTTCAGCGAATACCGTTTCCTGATTCTGAGTATAAGGTACGCAATCCTTGTCGACATACTCCCAATCTATACAACGTTGTTAACAAGAGACTTGTGGACGGTAAATCCGACACCTCCTTGGGACAGATGGTCGCCTTCCCATTGATAGAACAAGTTGCCGGATTCGAGGATTACCGTGTCCTCCTCCTCCCTTCGGACCTCGGATAATCCTATAATATTCCACCGTAACTTGTCTATTTCTTCTTCCAGCTCCAGGATCTTTTCGCCAGTCCTCAGGGTGCGAGCGTTATAAGTTGCCAGGTCGAGTCGTCGTAGGTGGCAACCGAACCTCCACCGGAGATTCCTAGCACCCCCTGCCCCGCCGTTACCATGGTCGTCACAGTAGCCAGGAATAGCGGGTCCTCCGGGGACTGGTGGTTATTTATTAATGTCGTTACTCATATACCCCATATTAATATAGTTGCCACGCTTGGCGACCGGGTTGGCAACCGCAGTTTTTCTATTGCCTTTTGCTGTTATCAGAAAGATGCTGCTGCCCATCTGTATAATCAATGAAGGCCATGTACACTGGTTTGTTGTATTCACTGTGCTTTTCTATGATTTGCTTGACTGTGTGTATATGGTCTATCGTTGTGAAGTTTTTCCTATAGCCAGTCTGTTCCATTGGTTGATTTTCGTCCATTGTGATGCTTATTTGATCTTGGAGAAGATCTTAAATATGTTCGACATCAGGCTTATTGGTCTGTAGTTAGATAAGTCTTCTTTTGAGCATTCTTTGTGTATAAGAATTATGTGCGAGGTTTCCCATTGTTTAAAAATCTCTTGTATTATTAGGATATCGTTGAAAATTTTTGTCAGAGTAGGCACGAGTTTGTTTAGGGTTTTTTTTTCAGTACATTGTGATCTTGTATGGGCCTGGTGCTTAATCCGACTTTTGGCTTAGTATACTTTGTAATATTTCTGGTTCTGAGGTTGGAGGGTATAGGGTCGGTTCGCAGTTTTCACGCTTTCTATTTTTGGTGATATCTGGGCTGGAATACAGCTTCTTGTAGAAAGCAGATGCTGTTTTTATTACACTTTTGCGGTTTGTGATGCTAATTTGGTTGCTTTTGAGATTAGGTATCCAGAAAGTGGTTTCACGAAGTCCTTTAAGAGCTCTTTCTGTTTGCATGACGCAATTATGTGTTTTTCTAGTGTTTCGTCTTCTGGCTTTCCTAACCTTGCGTACGCAAGTATTTCTTATTTTCTTACTTAACTCGGTTATTTCTTTCACTTTACAGTCTGTCAAGAAACTCATGAATAAAAGGAGGGCGCCACTATCTTTTATACGGCATCCCTATAGATTTCAACCGAAAAGTTTTGATACTTTTTATTTTATTTTATAAACTGATTTAATATTATGGTTCCTTTAGTGTCATATTTTCTCAAGTACATGCTTTTATTGTGTAACCCTTGACCCTTGTAAATCCCATCAACAGTAATTAGCTAAATTCACATACTTAATGATTGAGATAATTTGATTGTGTATCCTACAAGTAATTAAGGAAAGCAGGTTCTACACAAGACCAGCCTTGACAGACAGCAGACACTCAAGGCGCAAAAATAAAACAAACAAAATGTTGATACATAGTTATTATATTTTGATTATTAAACTGAGTCCAAATAATCTGAGTCGAGGTGTTCAACTCCCGAAATGTTGCCTGAAGCTCCTGCATAATTAAATTGGACCATTTCTGATTCTTCAGTTTCACTGGAACTATAATCGGTTTACGGAGATGACAAGTTTGTCTATATCATTATAAAGAGATCCTCCACGGGAAAAATATTCATCGCCGTCCACTACGCGCCGACATGTGCTTTCAGAAACACCTGAAACCAATATAGGCATGTAAATAATAAATACCTTATTCATATCTAAACAAACAATACAAAAGGATCAAAACTATTGACTGTGCAGTATAATTCTTAAATAAATTTTATAACCTCAACTATTTGTAACCAATGTAATAAAACGGATAAATTATACTTAAAAACAAACGATAGATATGACATTACAGTTTTTTTATTGTGTTTAACATTAAAATACATGTACGTACCATCGTAAACATCGTTTAAATAGGAAAGAAACTTTCCCGCTTGAAATTCGGCCATACACTCTTGAAACACTAAATATGACTTGTCTGGTACCGCTCTTATAAACACTTCGTTTCATTTTCGATCTCTAAAGACTAAACGGTCATACGATAAGAAAAACTCGAAATATAACAAAAAATCTTAGAGCACATCAAACTACAAAGCTACGATATGACAGCTGAGTTACTCAGTTTGACAATAATTTATTGTTGCCAGTGCAAGCAAAAGCAGTAGTTCCAAAAATATTCTTTTCATGACTTTCTTGACAGACTATACGTTTGTTGTTTTTGTCGGCAATTGGACTTTTTCTTTTATTTATGAGATTTGATGTCAGTCCCCTTAAAACTGGGTTGGACACATCATTTTCTTTCTTTACGCGGAATTGAGCGAAGTAGTTTATAACAACCCCATTATAATGGATTTCCCCAAAGTTACGCCTGATTCTATTTATTATTTATTAACTGAAAACATCTCTTAGTCTGATATGGAAAAGAAAATAAGTCCACGTCTAAGCGCGGTAATAATGAATTCTTGCAATTTTTTCTGCAGTAAATATCTCGCGAGAAGCTTGCGAATCATACTATCATAACTTATCGCAGAGGCACAGTAGTAGAGGTAGAGTATTTACACACGAGAGCTATATATGTCACGAATTAAAATAAATAATTTATATTTGTATCTTGGCCACTTCCATTTTTCTTGATCTTTAATTTTGCGCGCCTCATAACGGAAGCGCAATTAGTTAGTGTATTTTGAATTCATTCTGCCATTGACTTCTTAAATGATGCAGTTTTTGGGACGTTATTGGTTGTGGAGAACTCTATAGAGCTTTTTTAATTCTATTTTTATAATCAACATGCCGGTTTTCCCATAAACAAGGGTTGCACTCATAAAATTCTATTACTTTATTAGAATCTTCCTGACTCAATTTTATTTAACAAGAACAAAACCAACCAGCCGCTTGTGCGAAATATACGAAGCTGAACCGATAAGCAGCAATATTTGTCGCGAGTCGATGTGAACATGTTTAGACTTGCAACTAATTGCACTCGCAAGTACTTGCAGGAAACGTTTACCAAACTGTCGCGAGTGCGCTTGCTACGTAGTTTACATCTGCAAGCTTACTGTCTGACAGACTGTCGGACACTTCTTGCAGAAGTTTTCTTGTAGGTGGAAACGCCGCTCTACCTTATATGCTAAACATTTTTAAGAAAGTAGTCATGCTTGTGGGCATACTACACTACTGTTATTATATAGTAAAAATTCTTTTGCTTTAAACTTTTATTCAAAACCTTCAGCTTTGGCCAAAAGTTTGGCTGTTTTTTTGGCAAATTATTAGTGTGTAAAAAATATCACAATTTAATTTTGAACTGTTAAATAAAAAATAGAAACAGTTTATATGGTATTTTTAAATCTTTTGTTTCAGGAAATACCACAATCTAAGCCTTGGGAAAAAGTTTCAGGCCCTCCTATATTACCACCTCATCTTTTACAAGTTATTTTAAATAAGGATACTCCACTTTCTGTAATTCTTTTTTTATGTTTATTCTTACTAAAAACCATTATACAATTAGCCAGGAGATTATTTCACTTCTTTTTTCTTACAGTGTGAGCCAACGTTACTACCAGAGCCCAATCATGTTATGTTAAATCATCTGTATGCACTTTCTATTAAAGATGGGGTGATGGTTTTATCAGCAACACATCGTTATAGAAAAAAATATGTGACAACACTTCTATATAAGCCAATATAAATTATAAAAGTATTCTAACCTAGTGGTTGAAGATATTGTGAAAATAAATGAATAAATGCAGTTAGAATAATAGGTAATGATTTTTATGGTTTTAATTGTGCAATAACACTGACTAACAACTGCAGAATTTCATTGTCAACATAGGACAGGCATTTGTACATATTATATCTTTGAAGTGATAATGTTTTATAGTTTCTTAGTTTTCTAAATTTCAGTGTTGTAAAGCCAGATGCACACTTAACTGATTGAGAGCAAGTGTAGACTAACAAAAGAATGCAACTGAGTGGATGTCGACAGTTCACTAAATGTGTATGCCTACAAAGGCCTTCTCGTGCCTTTGCCTGTGCTCTGTTGTGTAAGTATATCAAAGGGAAATAGAACAAATATGCAAACGTGTTATGGACGCGCGGCCGAACTTGGGACGAAGACAGAGTGTATGTATGATCACTGCTCACGGAGCAAACAATAAATTGACCAAATTAAGTATTTATAAGATCTGTATGAAGATAAACGCCATTTATGGGATCTAAGTATGATCGGACACAGTGATTAAGCGTTCGGCTGTGGCCGCTGCGTGACGTTTTTTCGAATTTCGTACGTAAGAACTATTTGTAAGGCCAATTAATTCACATGCATGTAATTAAATGTTGCCAAGTGCTGGCTTAGAGTTTTTGAAGAAATAAAAATAATACAATAGCGGCCTTTAGACGTAATTTCGGAGCGCGCTCCGCGGAGTGAGATTTCGAAACGTGCTCAATATGCACTCTGACTCTTAGTGATGGGACTCGAGTAGAATGTTTTAACTTTAATAACCTAATCACTCGAGTGCCACTCGAATGAAGTTAAACTCGAGTTACTCGGCTGTCAAAAACGAATAACACCATTCTTTTCCACGATTTGTAAAAGTTATAAGTCTTGACAAATCATTTGGATTAGAGTTTAAGATTTTTTTTTGTTTCTGCTTAATAAGCGGTGCATTAGGGCTTGCAAGCTGTAGTTGCTGAAAACGCAGTTTCTTTGATGTAGAATTGGAATCGGCAGACTTGAAAGCAGAACTCTCACCTTCACTAGTTTGAGCACACGCATGTGATGAACTTGACTCACTCCTAATATCCTTATACTGAATCTGATGTTTATTCTTTATATTATGAGAAATCAAGTTGACAGTATTCCCAGTCTTTCTTACTTTTTTACACTAAATAACCGTTTTTTGTTCCATGCTTATTTTTGTCGTAAAAAAGTTCCAAAAAAGCTATCATGTTTTCTGCGTTCTGAAGCCTTCGTGTGTTGACTGTCAATTCTAGAGGCAAAGTTATATAAAAAAATCCGAGAATTTAACAAATTCTACTTGTATCGCAGGTCTGTTAATCTCTATTGTGCTTTTATTAGTCGGTAGAGAGGGTAGGCTTCGTCGATTATCGTACGTTTTCTCGCCTTTTCTATTATGTCCACATGGAGTGAACACTGGAGAAACGATAGAAGAGTGGTGTTTGGTAAGAAATTTGGTTAGTCTGTACCATGCATAATGTATTAAGCAGTGTTACCAACTCTAACTTTCCAAATCCGTAGAGTGGTATAAAAATTTCCGTAGAATTCTGCAGATGTTATTTCAAAATATTCGTAGATCTGTAGACTTCTTAAGAGGATCGAAATTATTTGTTTTTGTCATAGAATGGATCATTTTTTTGGTGAAATTCTTTCTGTCATGTAAAATTCTTGATGTAAGTACAATTGTAGTATAATATCGAATCAAGCTGCACATAAAAGAAAAAAAGTAGGGTAAAGATACCAAAGAGTGCGCAGTTTTGACAGATTTATTTTTAAAATAATCAACTTTTGAGTTAAGTCTTCAATTTTACTTATAATTAGGCTTTGGTTCTTTAGGAACACTTTTTTTTTACTCTTATTATTAATCAACATACATTAATATTTAATAATTAATAAAAACAAGGACGTGTCTCACGCGCACTCTTAAGGTACAATGACTTAAAGAGTGCGCATCCATGGCTCTTAGTACTAGTTAAGAGTACGCATGAGGGTAATGGAAGCTTTCCATGGTGAAACATCTACTTTAACCAAGGCAAACGTCACACTTAAAAACTCCGAATCCTCAGAGCACTCATCGTGCCACCAAGCCCCACACTGACTACATTGGATCCAGTCTTCATCTGGAGGTTCTACGTAGACTTCGGCACAAAGGGGGCATCGAACAACTTCTGTACCCGTACTTGTTTCCAGCAGTGTTGGTCTATTTGGTGTCGTAGATTTATTTTTATTTGATGTCTTCTTTGTCTTCTTGGCCTTTTCTTCTTTTTCTTTTTGTTCTGCTTCTATTTGATTTTTATAAGGAGAACTGGTAAGGATTTCTGAATTCTTACGTTTTATGTTTCTTTTTTTCTGAATGTTTGACTTTGGTAATGGTAAGATGTCTTCTGGTCTAAGAAAAGATGATTTGGATGGTGTTGGCTCGTCATTTTCTGGTGTTGTTATTACTTCCTGGTGATTATCAGTTGATTCAAGGGTTTCGGTTCCTCCGAGTTGAGATAATGCTATAACTGGAGCTGAAATATTAGTATTGACGGGTATAGGTGACGAGACAACTTGGGTAACAGTTTCTGTAGTTGTAAGTGGCAATTCAACAGCTAGATTTGAACTAATAAGGGCTTCGCCTGTACTTGAAGTTTCTGCAGTTGGATTGGGATGGTCAGTGACATTTGCAGGAGCAAAATCTTCATCGGAAAAAATCTGATCGTTAAAAGGCCAGATGCCACAAGATTCGAATGATTTCTTGGCTCTGTCAATTGAACCAACCTTAAGGTATGCAGTGCCAAATAGTCGAGCAACTTGATATCTTTAGATTTTGAAAATCTACCTAAAGAGCAAGGAACAGTGCCTGCTTTTAGTCTTTTTCTTAGAGTCGATTCTGGGACATTCAAAGACTCTGCAACTGATCTTTGACTTTGCCCACGGCGTATTCTTTCCTTTGCATCTTTTAAAATTTCTTCAGTAAATACCAATTTTCTATCTGATTTTCTTTTATAACTTGACATATTTGCGATCTATAAAAAAACAAAAGATAAATAATTAAAAAAGCTACTTTGTTCCCCATGAGTTACTACCTAAGAGTGCGCATGCGCACTCTTTAGGTGCGCACTCTTAAGATTTACGCTAATTCGATTGGTTATGACAGTTACAATCATTCCAACAAGATCGCATTTATAACCTTACTTAATAGCAAAATATAATAACCAAATTTCAAGAATAACTCACATATTCAGGTGGCACCCTTATGCAAATCTTGTAATACGTCTTCGAAATTGTTGATAAATAAGATTAAAAGTACTCAAAACCTTTAAATTGCAATAATCAAACTAATAAATACCGCACCAACTTGAAAGCGTGTCTACCGATTCCAAGCGTCACTGTCAACTGACAGTTAGCGCAGTGCTGCCATGTGTTGAAATTTCGTACCATTTAAAAGCTGTGCGTACTCTTTGGTAGTGCGTACTCTTTGGTGTCTTTACTATACCATAAAAATAATTGTTTACTGTTAATTAAATTATTTTTGATAAAAAAACGACAAAGTAATTAACACAAAAATATTTGTAGATAGTTATACTAATTTCACCGTGAAAAATAATTCATCCAAAATTCAAATATCTATCTAGCCTTTCTTATATGTTAAATTCAATTTTCCCGCTGAGATATAGATTGTTAAACTTTTTGATTGTACATTGTAATCAAGTTCACACTCATGATAAAAAAATGTTTTTTTTTTGTTAAGTTTTAAAAATTTTATTATTCTAAAAGAACTAAAGTACAAAAAAAAATTAAATAAAATATCAAATTCCGTAAATCTACGGAAAAATCCGTAGAGTTGCCAAAGTTGGTGTTAAGTGACCATTTCTTTTGTCATTCGATAAATAATAAGCCATCAGTTTTAATTTATTTTATTTAATTATTTAGGTATAGTATTTGTGACAAAAAAAATTTATAGTTACTTGGCTTGTATTATCCACTTTGTTTATTCAAGTATGTATTTTACTAGTGGCATAGCTAGTATGAGTGGCTCCCGGTGCGTATATCGCTGTGTCACCCCAAGAATGAAAATTTATTAAATTAATAAAATCTGATACCTAATCGTTAAGCATGTTGTATGGTTTTATTTGTAGTATTCCCCGTAATAACAATTAATATAAATAAAATTATTTAAATAAACACTTTTTTTACATTATTTACATAACATTTGAATATATGGATGGGGCTCAACAAATGGCCATCTATTTACCCCTAAATTTTAGTGCTTTTGTTTCAAGTTCTTTTATAGAGTTTTATTTGTTACATTAAAATGAAGACATCAAAAAAGATAGTTGCAATTGGAATTCACAAATCTTCAATTTACGCAATATTTTTATAAAACAGTACAATACGGCTACGAAGGCTGTCTGAGTACAGTGTGCCTAGTACGTTTATATTTTTACGTATTCGATCCCGAAAAAGTTAACTACGATTTGTATAGAATAAAATCATCGCCAACTAGTGGCAATAATCGGAATCACAATTCATTATTACCTATTTGTTTATGTTTCATAATTTGATCAAGGTTTCAATTCAAGAGTTTGTGTTAGTATTATGAGATTGTGAATATGTGAATTAGCCATTTTATTTTAATGTTAATTATTGAAAGTATTAAATTGAAAGCAAAAAACATGTAGATGTTTTCGTTCTAATATCTTTTTATAGTGACATTTATGGAGCAGTAAATGGAATTTAATTACTTAGTGTTAAGTGAACTTATGATACTTACTTACTACTACTGACTTAATTATTAAATAGTGATGGTAGGAACTTGGATATATCAAACGCTATTTACATAAAAACTTGAATACTTTCTTAGAAAAGGCGATATCTATCCTTAAATTACCTGTCATCGGAGTGTAACAACGGACTAAAATATGCACAAGCTCTTGCTTCAACACTAGCGTTATAATAGCAGTCAA